TTTCGGCTCTCGCGGTGCTAAACGGAATAAGCATCATCACCACCACCACCATCATCATCCCCCGCCTCACCAGTAAGTCAACCATGCTGCTCCCCCTTTTCGCCTGTTTTGCAAAGTTCATGCTAACAATTTAGCAGTCATCATCATCACCACCATCATCACCATCATCAGCACAAGCCTGAGGACGAAGGCCTACCCGCACCGACGACCGCGATTCTCAACGGCCGACCAACGCCCCTACCCCAATCAGGCCCCGGGCAATCTGTCCATCATCACCACCATATTCAGGGGAATCCCCACCATCACCATCACCACCATCATGCGCCCCGCCCGACCATGCCTGTGGCACTTGCAGCACCAGTCAAGAGTCATGACATACAGCCCATCTTGGAAGAAGCTGCCAAGCGACCCCGGAGACATCTTGGGTCACAATTGTACCAGGCCAAGACCGAATTGCCAAAACCCAACTCATCGTTGGACGACCAATTTGGTTACGCCTCGAAACCCCAGCGACTGCCGCGCTTTGACGTTAATCCTATCAACTGTACTTTCACAATCAGAGTGCCGAGATACTATCTGAAACCACGGCAGCGCCAGCACATTGTGTTAGAAAGGCATCTCTGGGGGGCGCGTGTATATCGTGATGATTCCGATCCTCTAGCTGCTGCTATTCACTCGGGATGGATTCGTGGCGAGTGGGACGATACCGTCGATGTTGCCATGCTCGATCCACGTATCACTGCGCCCAACGACCCGTCGGATGCCGAAGATGTCCTCACCAAACCCCCCGCTGCGCCTGTAACCCCGCCCGCCGACATGGATTTGCAGATTGAGATTGTCATCTTGCCCCAGCTTCAGGAGTATACGGGGTCGGTCGAGTATGGAATCTCGAGCCGGAAGAGCAAGGGACATGAAGGTCTTAGCTTCATGATCAACAAGATTCGATGGGTAGAAGAAGGCATTGGCAGCCGAGGACAGGACCGAACAGCAGCAGCATTGAAACGCCGACTAGACGCCAGTGCTGCACTGCTCGCCCTAAAGAGTGGGATTGTCGATTCCTGCAGGGTTAATGGCATGGCAAGACTACACGCTTGATGTTGAGTCGAGTAGGCGCAACCTCTCGACATATAACGGCCGTCTCGGATTTTATGGCATATGGAATTTTGTAGCATGCAGTTGAGTTTGAGCATTGCTAGATACCCGCATCTTTTATTTTTTGCTCAAGGTTGGCGCAGTATTTGCACATAGCGAAGGCGAAGAAGTTTGTGCTGCTATTTTTTTTACGACAATCCAAAGAAGTGTTTGTTAATTGGGTATACTGAGAAGAAGAAGATAAAAGCAAAAAAGTATCTGGTAGCGTTTGTAGTGATGATGAAATATTCATAGCGTGATTTGATCCTGGTGTTGGCGTTTGTGCACGTGGTTTGGGCAGTGGAAGATAAACACATCCCGCGGGATTACACACGCATACATGCAAGTTGAAGGCGATAGCGGTGTGAGCTGTTCCTGCTTGGAGCACAGATAAGGCAATCGGGCCTTGTGAGTCTAGATACTACACTTGGCCGTCTTGAGGCGAGGATCCATTCATCAACACTCGAACACGCAGCAAAGCAATTACCTACTGAGTGCACAATATCCCTCTGGCAGCCAGACCCAACGAGACTGCCCCGCCAACCTGTCCCACCGCTTGCGCCACCACGCCACAGCACCATTAGACATAGCGGGATTGCGCTGCATTGATAGCAAAAATGGGTCATACTAGAACCTACTCCATCTCAACGGTAAGTAAGCTCGTATTCCTTGGGCCGACTGCAGGCTGCCACCATGGCTCTGGCCTATTTTTGCCATGGCTGGCATGAACTTGATTAAGAAATTTCACCCTCTTTGCGACGTTCCGGCATTCGGCGGCTTAAGGCATGTTTCTGGACTACCCCCTAGCCATGCGACTGGAGCCGTTGTCGTCATGGCGCAGAGGACTATGGCATCATGGCACACGACCAAAGAAAAAGTGCGTATGCGTAGCAGCGCGACTGTTTGGGGCCACCTAGCCAATGACACAAGGCCAGCAGACCGAGGCGCTGGCCGACAGTACTGTACGCATCGCGAGGCACAAGCAATCGCGCATTTTGGCATGGTCGCAACAGCCATCCGTCCGTCCGGGGAGACGGGCTCAATTGCAAACGAGAATGCCTGGCTGTCGAATAAGAATCTCGCAGCAGTGTCTGCTCCACTGCGCCCGCTAGTCTGGAGCCGCAATCCGAACGCTTGCTGGTGAAAAGAAGGACAACGGCACCGAATGCGGGGAATCGTTGTCAATCGTCAATCCATCGTCCTTTCGCTTCTTGATGGCCGGACCGAGCTCACGATTCTGCAACACAACACCCCACGCCCTTACCGCTATTGCTTCAGCCCAAACCCACCACTAAACGATCTGCCGCTCGGGAGCCTCTCCCCTTGACCGCCCAATACTTGTCATTGCCGCCTCTTTGGTTAAAAAGCCGCATTCCGTCCCTGCGCCATCGGAACACTCTCGGGCTAGATTCCGACCTGTTGCTTTTCTCTACCTTCCTCTTCTCTCTCTTACCTTGCCCGCCTCTTTTCGTCACTGCATCTGAGGGAGCTGGACTCGCCGCACAACATGACGGACACCAATGGAATATATGCGCCAAATATGCGCGCTGTGCCTGCCGGCGATTTCGTACGGCCAAGCAGAAAGACTAACGGTGCCGGTATACAGGCTGAAGACACCCGGATATGCGTCGTCATGGTCGGCTTGCCCGCGCGAGGCAAGAGCTTGATTGCACAGAAAGGTATGTCCCCTTTCCACATGGGAACATGCCGCCCCTGACCAAGCACTTTGTAGTTGTCCGCTACCTACATTGGCTATCAATCAAATCCAAGACGTTCAATGTTGGGCAGTATCGTCGCACTGCAACCCCTAACCCCTCGGCCGAATTTTTCGACACATCGAACCCAGAAGGAGAGCGCCTCCGAAAGGCAGCCGCCGAAGCAGCTGTCAATGACATGTGCAAGTGGTTTTCCGAGGGCAAGGGATTGGTCGCGATTCTCGATGCGACAAACTCTACAAAGAGCCGACGAAGATGGATACAGGAACGATGCACTGCGGACAATATCGAGACGCTCTTTGTCGAGTCCAAATGCGACGATGAGGAACTCATTATGAGCAACATCTTGGAAGTGAAGACAACCTCTCCAGATTACGTTGGCCAGGACCCTGAGGCTGCCGCAGCCGATTTCCGCAACCGCATTCGAAACTACGAAAAAGTCTATCAGACAATTGATGAGGATGAGCGTGACCTCACATATGTCAAGCTCATCAATGTTGGAGCACAAGTCATTATCAACCAGATCCAGGACTACCTCCAGAGTAGAGTTGTGTACTACTTGATGAACCTGCACATCAAACCACGATCTATTTGGTTATCGCGAGTAAGTTGGCACCACAATACTTTGAGTTTAATACTAACTATGATAGCACGGCGAGTCGGAATACAACCTCACAGGGCAGATTGGAGGAGACGCGAACCTCTCAGCCCGTGGCGACGCTTACGCGCATGCGCTCCCAGGTCTCGTCGCAAAGTCGGTTGGCGATGGCCGCAAGCTCACAGTATGGACATCGACCCTAAAGCGAACAATCCAGACGGCACGCTTCTTGCCTTTTGAAAAGTTAGAGTGGAAGGCGCTTGACGAACTCGACTCTGGTGTCTGCGATGGACTTACGTACGCGCAAATCGAGCAAAAATACCCGGAAGACTTCAAACAACGTGACGAGGACAAATACAACTACCGCTATCTTGGTGGAGAATCATACCGCGATGTGGTTATTCGGCTCGAACCCATTATTATGGAGCTGGAGCGCAGCGAGAACATTTTGATTGTTACACATCAAGCCATTTTGCGATGCATTTATGCCTACTTCATGAATGTACCGCAGGAACAGAGCCCCTGGATGGAAGTGCCTCTGCACACGTTGATAAAATTGACACCAAAGGCGTACTCGACACAGGAGGAAAGGTTGAAAGCCGACATTCCGGCCGTCAGTACCTGGCGAGGAAAGGGTACCAAGGCCGAGCATCAGCCGGCGAATGGTAGCACTTAGCTTCATTTCTTCTAATTCCTGGACAAATCTGCAGCCCGCATTATCCAGGAGTGACTGTTGGGAGAAGCGTTATGAAGGGCCTAGTGAATAGCTGTCAACAACACTATAGACGAACGAGGGGTCTTTGATGGATTGTAGGTTGGCTATTTCGGCGTGTGCGTTGAGGCATATGGGATAGGTGACATTTCTGCGGTTTGGGTCAAAACATTATTAGAAGGGCAAGCATTCAGAGTAATGGGTATAGATTGGAGGGAGTCAACATTGCTACCGTAACGTTAGGAGGGCAGACAATTGGTATCACAAATAGCAAATACTTGGATAGAAATTCGAGTAGCAGTTTTTCCATTGTTTTGGCGTGGAAGTTGGAATATAAACAAAGGTGTTTGAATACGAGTATGATCAACGTTCTAGAAAGGTAAGATGTGTTCCGTTACCTAGGTGTCGGTACGTTAACTGCCCACCTTCCCATCTCAGCCTCTCCCGCGGACATTACAAGCAACGGGCTGTGCCGCAACCCCACTTCACCTCCACAACCAAACGACTTGCTGCTCCTGCTCCTGCCACCACTACTCTTACCGCCACGAGACAACCAGCGAGAGAGAAAAAAAAAGGATCAGCCCACAGCAATGCAACAATGTCACCACCACCGCTACCAACCACCAACCCAAGTTACCAGCACCAGCCTTCCACCTCAGACACCCCCATCCTAGACGCCCCCATACCAGCCTCACACACGACCCAAACACCCACCGCACCCGCACCATCCCCCGCAAGCGTCACACCACACGCCGGATCCCCATCGCATCCACGCCACCACCACCAGCAGCAACGCGGTCCCCCACCTCCCTTTGACCCACGCAGCGCGCACTCGAAAAAAGAGGAGGAGTTGCGCCGTAACTTGCAGGCGCGAGGCAAGAATTATGATATTAGCGGTGGTGGTGGAGGGGTGGGGAAAGCGGTAGGGGCGGCACAGGCGAGTAGGGCGTGGGGGTATGAAGAGAGGCAGCGGAGGGATGAGGCGGCGGGGATACTGGAGAGTGAGGAGATGGTTATGTGGATTGCGGGGGTGAGGAATGAGGTTTGTTTCTTCCCTTTTTCCCTGATATCGTGGAAAGAGCGGGCTTTTAGCCTTTTGGGTTTGAAGGTGGGAAGGGTTGACTGACGAATGGCACAGAGCATAACGCAGACGCGGGCGTATTATCGTAATGTACTACTTGGGCTTGAGTCGTGTGCGAAGGAGAGTATTGTCTGGCGGGATGAGTGGGAGGGGTCGCAGCAGCAACAGGGTCGCGATGGGGAGGCGCTGGGGAGTCCCGGGAGGAGTGGAAAGGGCAAGGAGAGGGAGATTGCGAAGATGAAGAAGAGGGTGAGTTCGGGGGTGGGACAGTAGAGTGCAACTTAATGGGCAGAGAAGGGGAAGGGGAGAGAGCCAGTATCATGATTTTTTTTCTTTACAAACAGCTTTATACCCACTCATGTACATAGATACATCTTCACATCACGACTTTTCTTCTTCTTCTCTGAATACAACCAGATCCAAAGAGGCACGTTACTCGTTGCATTAGATACTTGCGTTCGTAACCTGTTTTCTCCCCTAGGCCCAAGGGGATATATATGGGGTTCATAACGAATGAATTCCCAGAACCCTTCCTCCGATTCTTTTCCTTTTTTTTCCAATGTATGCCCGAACACCTCATATAGTACGCGTTTCCAAGCGCGCCAGTTACTTACATTGATTTCAACAACAACAACAAAAACCAGGACGAACGCACGCCACAGCCCCCCCATCTCTTCATAGTGGCGTTTCCAAGCTGACTCTCAAAAAGGTCTATCAAACGCCCCATTCCCATATCTCCCTCACATTCCCTCTTCCATGCCGACATTGCGCCACCATGGCTTATCACCCTCACCAGCACCCTTCTCTGCAAACATGTCCTCTGCATCGCCAACCTGTCGTCTCTCACTAATTTCCCTGCTGACCTGGCCGCTCAACTTCAACTTCATAGCCTTGCTAGCCAGGAATGGGTTGTATTTACGCGAACCGTTACCCTGCGCCATTCCTCGGGATGATCGGATGAGTTCGCTCGATGTCCATCCGCCCCTCATGACAGGTAATTGCTATTGCAAAGGCTCCGAGGAAGAAGAGAGGCGGTTAAGGTGGAGGTAGACGTCGGTGCCGTAGCTGTAAAAAGAAAGTCAGCTTCAACCCTTTTTAATGTGGCAAGGAGCCAAGACATGTTGATACATACCCTTCCATCGAGATCAACTTCAAATCTCCACCAAAGTACCGTGCATACAACCGAGAAATGGGGAGGCCATAGCCGAAACCAGCCATTGGCGCTTTGAAATCGTTCTTGTTGAAATCTGGGTCCAGGTTGGGTGTTTGGTCCACAGTCGTGTACATGTATGTCCAGACGAGCGGAATCGACGATCTTGGAATACCACCTCCTTCATCTGAGATCTTGATCGTAATATCCTCTTTGCCCTCTGCAACAATGACTTTAGTCACGGGGAATGCCTCCTTTTCTTGCCCATGTCTCTCTACTACAGCACGCAGCGAGTTCTTCAAAGTCTCGAAGAGCATGTGCGACAGATGCCCAGGCACATACATGAAGTTGATCTCGGGGTTGCACACAAGCTGCACCTTTGGAGCGTCGAATAATCCGTAATGATCTTCGCACACAAAGCGCGCATTTTCAATAGCCTCTTGCGCCAGTTCTTGTACGTTTGTCTTGGTGCATATGATACCAACGTAGTTTGGATCACTCCGTGAGCGTTGGTCGGTGAGGGCGATGTGCTGACCGATGAGCATCCGAATTCCGATACGCGACATGTAGAACCGGTCCAGGAAAGCCTGTATGTTATGGTCAATATGCATCCGTTGCCTCTTGCGCTTCCACTCGAGGATGCCCTGCGCGACAGTAGTAACGACGCTGTCATGCCGCCGTTTGATCTTCTCCAAAGTCTCGGCAAACTTTGTGTTGTATGCGCTAAGCTCTGGTGGCCAATCCTGGCCGTCGTCTGCAGCGACATAGTATCTCCGGCTTGCACCCTTGACCTCTTTGGTGATCCCGTTGCCATTGCCGTTGCCATTGTGGTTTCCATTCGACGTTGGTGCGGATCGGTACTGTCCAGTTCTGATGCTTGGGTTTTGTGTCGGTTTACTCATCAAGTTCTTGTCGCCGCTCTTTTTCGCTGGTTTCAGTAATCGTTCTTTGATCTCGCTCGAGAGTTGTGGTCGTGGCAGTTCGACGAGTTCCTAGCGTTGTGAGTCAAGCTATTCAGCGAGCCGTTACCGCACATACCTCGAATGACTGCGCGTACCAGTCGCGCACTCTGCAAATGGATGGCATCTCATTGAGGCCATCGGGGAGGTCGTTGAGCTCTTGCACGCGATGTGCCAACCGTATGGGAAGTTCCTCAGAAAGGAACTGTGACGCGCGGAAAAGGGTTCCCGTCGATGGCTTCTCGCCAAATTGCACCATCTGCCGTAGGGACACGCCTGGAATGGAATTAGAGAGACACTTGACACCAAGACTCGAGGATACGGACCAGTCGCCGGAAAGTTGCTATAGTGCTACGCAAGGATTAGCAGTGATGGCATTGTGGGGTGCGTTGCCTACCTTGATGGTTTCCATCAGCCTCTCGCTCCGCTTCCACGACATGATGGCAGTTGTTCAAGGCCGTAACGGCCTTTGTCGCTGTGTGCTCGCCAAAGTGCTGTGGTCGGTGGTGGTGTCCCCCGTCCAAGCTGCCGAACGCCCCCACTATGACGCTAATGGACGGCGATGAACCGGCCGAGGTAACGGCGCGTGGAATGCTGTGCTGGGGCGGTTTGCGACGAGTCGTCTTGAGTGAGAGGAGGGAGAGGTGGCACAAGAGCACATGTAAAGTATGTATGTGTATGGCTAAATGATGTGATGTACACGGAGTTCCCCGGGAATGCCACGACTGATTGGAGAGCACTTGCGCCTTCCCCCACACTTTTCGACTTGAGCGTGGAGAAGCACGCGCAGCAGCGTCACAGGCAATCCGCGTTCATGAGCCTCTCATCCCACGCCTGACGAGACGGTATTGGTTATGACACGGCCATCTGTCTTGTTTTGTTTTCTGGCGCCTGCCGTCGCCAATGCATGGGATGCGACAACGTCAGTGTATCGCCCTCGACAAGCACACAGCTCCAGCCACATGATCCTCGGCTAGTTGTCGGAGGAGGCGCCGGCAGAGCGCATGTTCCTTGCTGCATGTTCCTCAGCTCCGAGGATGCCCAGACACTCGCGTGAGCCGCACCATATGGAGCTAGGCGAGCGTAGTCCCATGGGTACACATGATGCAACCGCTCTAAATACGGTCCCTGTGGTCGAAATTCCCGCAACGTGTCAGAAAATTTGTCCGACTCCCCATTGGCCGCCAGGGTAGGACCAACATGTGCGGAGCCTTTGCCATCGTATATCACCCTTTTCACAAGTCAAGAGCAGCGCCCCGAGGGACAAGAAGAGTATAAGTGAATAGAGGAGAATTGTTATTTCGAACGTGCCGCCAAGTTCCAAACCAGGTCTATGCTGCACCACATCGAAAAAACGCCCTAAAATCATACACCAAACATAATCTACATGGAACAGTAACGCGCTAAAACCGCGCTCACCGCCTCAGTCGTTCGTCTATCATCGATGTTGATACAATCCAAAGAGATCTTGGGTCGAAGAGGTATTAGAGAAGGGTCGTGGAGCGTCGGAGAGTGGGGTAAACGTCAATGTGGTAATAGGACGCTTATTTGGTCTCCTCCTCAAGGAAGGTGATCAGGTCGTTACGGTCCTTGGGCTTCTTGAGACCGCCAAAGGCCATCTTGGTACCGGGAATGTACTTCTTGGGGTTCTCGAGGTACTCAAACTGTGTTGCGTTAGCATTGACTGTCGGGTCATGTTTGTCTTTGTACGGCGTCACATACGAGAGTGTCGTGGTTCCACTCAATGCCCTTTTGCTTGTTGGCATCGGTGTATGAGTAGCCAGCGACGGAACCAGTCTTGCGGCCGAAGAGGCCGTGTAGCTCGGGGCCAATCTTGTTGCCCTCACCGGCCTTCAGGGTGTGGCACTGAGCGCAACGGGTCTACAGTGTGGTTAGAGAAGGTTCGGCGAACGTGTGATGCGACGAGGGATATATCCGGCGTCATCTCAGTGTATTCGTACCTTGAAGAGGTTGGCACCCTTCTTAGCATCGCCTGCAAGGATATGTCAGCAGTCTGCATGACGATAAAATTTATTGTACTGCCAAGCGAGCCATCTTGCCATGTCGCAAACCTGCCATATTTCACACCGCCTCATGAACTGCCCAAATCTAGCTGGCTTGTATTCTAGGAAAACGCTGCTTCTCATAGAGGCCAGTTCTCCATGTGCGCGCAGGCTCAATGGGCGTTGGAAGCAGGAGGCAAGGCGAGGCAGGCAAAATGGGAGACGACCGATGACGTCCGATTGGAGTCAGAAAAACGTACCCTTTTCGTAGCCCATTGTGATAAGATGAGAGGTATGAGGGTTGGTTAGGTGGTAGAGAGGTAGTGTTCAGGAGTAAGAGAAGAGTGAGACTTGTGGAGTGGTGAAAGGAAGCAGCGATGGAAACTGGAATGAGCGACAAAAAAGCTGGCAGAGGCAATGGAAAAAGCCAAACACGTGACTACGCTCGCGTCAGGGCCCGTCATGCCATCGCGGCTAGCGCCTGCATGCGGCGAATCAGAGACGCAGTAAAAGTCAGGAGCAAAGGCGGTCGGGTGGAACCGGTCCGAGGACGCCTGAGCTGGGCAGGCAAGAGCCTCTGAGCTGAGCCAGGGCCGTCTTTTGTCCAGCCGCTTTTGCTTTCCTGGTACTCGGCAATCCTGCATCATCCCATCAGTCGATGCCGTCATGACGTCGCCCGCAAACAACCCTGGGCAGCTGCCAGTACACACGCCAAGTCCACGCACATATCCATATCAAGAGTACATAGATGTAGACCAAAAGCAATCATCCTCCCCTACTTACATACACTACTCTGGCTGTCGGGTTTCCCAGGGTCTGGTCCGTCGGCTTCCCTGCAGGACGCCGGCTCTACATACCAAATACGATGCCGCGCAAGGGTCCGTAAATCAGCGTGACATCTTCACGGTACCGTCCAGGTTGATGAATGCCGGCTTCTCGTGATCTAGAAAGCAGTACATTAGTATTACATTCCCCCGCCAGCATCACACTCATCTTGTCTTCCTACCAGCAACCCGCCACCATCCGTTGTGAGCCAGTCCCTTGGTTGACATCATTAAGTTCTGCCCCGCCACACCTCAACCGACAGGATGGATCAGATTCCAAGTATCTTATATGCTGATGAGAACTTCAAAACATGGCTGATACTCGGCGCTAGCCGAGGCATTGGCCTAGAATTCGTCAAACAGTTGCTCGCGAAGAACGAACGCATCATAGCTACTGTGAGAGAGCCTTGGGCCGGGCATGCCAGTGGCCTGTGGGGACAAGCGGGTGGCGATCATGGCCGATGTCAAATGTACACATGCGATATCTTGTCTGAACAGAGCATCGAAGTACGGAAGCCGATTGCATTCCGTTCCTGCTGCGAGACTGAGAGGGGCTGACACTGTCAGAAATTCGTCGCGCAACTGGCAGCACAGCCGAACCTGAAGATCGACTATGTAGTACTAAATGCAGGAGTGCTAAGGTACCCGAATGTAAGTTCGACATCATGCACGTATGCAAGGGGGCTGCACTAACCGTTACAGAGGGCCACTGAGCTGTACGTTCCTCGTCGCGGTCACGCTTTTCTGGTTGTGGCTAAAGCGTGCATTTGCAACAAATCCAGTATATCCGGGTGACGGTAGTCATGGTCGAGATCATGTATGCTGACTTCAGACAGATCGTTTGATGAATTCGCTTTCCATTTACACACAAACACCATCGGGCCCATCGTCGCAGCACAGAAGCTTCTGCAAACAAAAATCCCCATAGGCACAATTGTCTTCATGTCCAGTGACTCGGGTTCCCATGGCAAATTTCTTGAGATGGAGGATGGGTTTGCCGCATATGCTGCGTCCAAGGCTGCACTAAACATGGCAGCGAGGCACATGGCCGCTGAATTGAAGCGGAAGGACGACGATACAATCATCTTATGCATGCATCCAGGTGAAGTAGCGACTGACATGGCAAACATTGAAATCCCATGGACTATAGAGGGTCTCATTTCACCAGAAGAATCGGTTTCAAAGATGATTGAAGTGATCACGACCAAAGGCATACAGCACAGCGGCACCTTCTGGACATGGGAGAACAAGGTCAGTTTACCTGAGTCTTTTCAAACCTTTAGTCATGTACTAATATCTACGTTTCGACAGCCTTATATTTGGTAGCATCGATGACACTCATTATGTTCCCATCTTGAATCAGTCGCACACTTGTACCCAGATTCCAGTTGGCTGTGCTTGTGCCTGCTTATCAGATTGTGTATGAATGCTGATTCATAGTTTTCATCGTGCTTCACACTCAAGTCAACATAGAAGTGTATAAGAATTGAGAATCAGTCGAATTTATTCGGAATGCCTGTATTTTGCCTGCCCATAGCCGTTTCGTACACCTTTGCCTTGAGGAAACGCGACATGGATTCGCAGACGGTACCTATAAGCGCGAATCTTTCAATCTGCAACCCATTATATGAGAGACAAAATCGTTGATGTTTACCTGAGCTTGTGCTATCAATCTGCTCAAACGTTTAGTAGTAGTGGTTTTCGCCTGGGCTACCATAGATGACTTGTGGGTGCTAGCCGTTTTTTAGCAAGCATGCACGTGCACTCTGACCCAAAAGTACGTGCAACCATCCTCATTCCATAATGACACTTTTCCCTTCGAAACTCGACATGTAGATGGTAGCTATGTCCGAGGGTGCACATGTTTTCTCGAGAATGTTGATTTGTGGCTTGGTTAACGTGACGTCTCCACAATGACTTCATCGGGAAGCTACTTTGACAGTTCACCGACAATATTGTTGTACCAAAGCCATCGACAGCACAACCGCGGGTCGGAACATCAACTCCCCGAATCACTATTAACAACCCAGAATACGCAATGGCTGCCTCCCCCGCCATGACAGATCCGCTTGCGGCTCTTCCGCCGGAGATTGTCCTCCGCATCCTTGACTTCACGCCTGTCTCTACACTAGGCTCTCTCATTTGCGTATCACGTGCTTGGCAGCAATTCATCGACCATACCCACCAGGACGCCATCTACTCCTCTCCCTCCAAAACAGTACAGCCACCAAAGCGTCTGCAACCACACAGCAGCGCTCGCGATTTTTCTTTCCTTGAAAACTCTACCAGTTTTTCTAAATTCTTCGACAATGTCACATCTTGGAAAGACTTATGCAAGCGCCAAACCTTGCTTGAGCGCAATTGGAATGCGCCACGGCCTGTGACTCGCGAATCTGTCCTACAGGTTGGCAATGATGCCATATGGCGGTTCAAGGTAGACTTCAAACGTCGCTTGTTCATATCTACTTCACATGCTGGTGGCTTCAACGTTACGGATATGGACTCAGGCCGCCTCTTGTGGCGGTTACCTTCCGTGCTAGATACAGCAGAAGAGCATGCTGTTAGACCATACGCGCATCTCGAATACCAAGATGGGACTGCAGTGTTTGATCGTGAGGGTGATGCACTGGAGGTATGGCGGATAGATGAAGAGGGCACCGAAAGAGGAGTATTCAAGCGTATTGCTGTCCTCGATCATGATTGTCAGACGAGAGGATTTCAGCTTTCGTATTGGACGTTGGTAGTCGTTTCGGTGGAAGGTCAGGGCTTCGTGTATGACATGAAGCAAACCCCACCGAAGCTCACTACCCATCTTACCATCGAGCAAGATGCAGTAGGCCATCTGGATCAAAACGAGGATATGGTAGTTTACTCAATGGGCACACGCGGGTATCATGTGTATGATAAAGAGTCGGGAAACTGCTTAGGCCATCTGCAGCCATCGCATTGCACAGACAAATACTATGTGCATCGGCTACCACCCGTAAACGATCCCTCTTTCAGGGAATCAATGTATGGATTACGCCATGGTCAGACCAGGCGGATCTTCCCTCCCGCCTCGCCACGTAGAAATCGCTTTACTCCTACTGAGCTCGGTAAGGGCCCCCTGCCGAACGCGCCTGATGACCCAAATCACCCCAGGAATGGCGAGGATGAGTGGGGCGCCGGTATGCTAGACCGCGATAGCAACCTCTTCGTTGGCTTCTCCCGCCTCGGTCGCGTTTTCATATGCTCTGATATTCGTAAGGCACTCGAAGATGGGGCTAAGAGCATGGCCAGCTATAGCCAGATTCTCGAGTGTGATTCCGACGGATCGGACTTTGATCTCGGCGGATGGTTATCCGTGCGAAACCACCGCGTCATGTTTGGAATCCAAAATAGAATATATGTCGTCACGCTAAACGCAGAAAATCGACTTGACTTTGAAGACGGCAAGAACAGGAATCGAGCTTCATACTCACTCCTTACGGGCTCGACACCTCAATTGATGGTCCCAGTCAGTTTCATGGCATTGTATGACGATTGCATTATGACAACATACGCTGTGAGTTTAATCCTTCTATAAGAAATGGCAATTTTGCAATGTTTATCTAACATTTAACACAGACTATTGGCCAGCGACAAGAAGACGATGGGCCCGGTCGCATTTTCCCGACAAAAGCAATACGCATTCTTAGTTTGGCACCTTCTCTTGACAACAGCGATCATACAACTACAGATTTGGAAGTGCAAGCGCAGAGACCGCGGAATACGCTGATGGAGCTTTGGATGATGTTTAATGATGAGCCGAGCGATGGAGAGGATACTTGGAGGACTATAGATGGGCATGACTTGGATGATGAGTGGGAAGACGAGGAAGATGAGTGATTGGCTGTCAGTAAGGAGCTTGAGGTATCAAATGTCATGTATGTAGAAGAAGAATGGGTAGCGTTATGAGGGTCACTTAATGATTTCCCATTGCGATGTACAAGGGTTTTCAGTGCAGATGAATTCAGTTAATTTGGTTGGAAGCAGCCTTAAGCTAGTGTCTTCACCTTCAGCCTGGTGCCACCAGCCTAAAGGTAACTCAAACACGCACACGGATGGTTTGACTGTGGCTTTGTGCGGCAGGTTCTCCATTTTGAGTGGCCTAAGTAGAAGGGCAAGTGCGGGCTTCGATTGTACACGAAAGCCCAAGCCTCAATTGATGTTAGCTCATGTAGCCCCTTATGGGATAGCTAAGTATTTGCCCTAATGATAAGCGTTCCCTCAATACAAGCAACTGCCACAGCCTTTCGGCCAGACAGGGTCTGGACGGTCATATGCAGGTAAGAGGTGTGGGTGCTGTCGATCGCGCCGCGGGCTGACATACCTGGCGTCTGTTAGCGCACACACCCCAGTCGACCTGGTAGACTTGCGTCATAGAAAAAGATATGAAAGGACAGCCTTCGCATGCCAAAGTCGCTTCTCACAACATCTGGTAGGCGAATAACTACCGCCAGTGTTATATCCATCATCTGCCTCCTAAGTCAACTACTCACATTCTTACCTACCTTGTCGAATCATGCCTGCACGTGTCTGGAGAGTCCCTCGCGCCTTTGATCCCGCTCTTCCTATGGATGATTCTAGCCCACCACCCGTTGCATCACCTGTACTCCAGTCCCAATGGTCAAGACAGGATGTGTTGACCCTTGCTGGTGTATGCGTCGCCATCATCTCTGTGTTGATCGCACTCGTTAGCGTCATGTTTTCGCCCCCTAAATTGCGCAAGTGGCTGTGCAGGCCGTTTCATTGGATAACGCAAAACGTACGGCCAGGTAAGTCTAGTCACGTGACTAAAAATGCGAGCTGATCGGGTGGACTAGATGCGGAATATCTACCCTTGTCATCGCCGTCTCCTTATCAACCAATGGTCATCGAGAACTGGAAAAACACAGATGAGAGAGTGGCTCGCCAACAATTGCAGGATCGTTACAACGAGTCGCTGAGGGTGAGGCGCGGGGGATTCTGATGGTGAATAAAAAGAACTAAATACAATACAATACAACCCGATTTGGATGGTTGTCTGGGTAGATTTGGCGGCAAAATTTTGTGCGACGCATACAATGGGCATTTATTTAGCGGGCGTTCCTTTTGTTCCTGTCTGTATTAGAGAACTCGAAGTCATACCTCTTTTTGCATTCGATCCATCGTTCTTATGTCTTTTCTCCTGGTGTCAGCGTCGTCACCACACCTGATGCGCGCTGAAAAAAATAACGAGCATTTAATGTATCGAAGCACACTGCCTCCTTCGTCAAGTCCTCACCAATGGAACATCTTCCGTCTCCCATTTCGCAATAGCTTGTTGATCGATTAGGCTTAAAATAAGCTATAGCTGGTATGACGCATTGCAACAACGTCTGCTGAACGCATGGAACGTTGTTCTCCCGCGACGTGCTGTACAACATGTGGCTAGAGGCTGCAGGGCACCGTGCGCATAATATACGGAATCACCAAAGAACACACTAGTCCACGGGGTTACATTAATCAATCTTGGGAGCCGAGTTTGTAACGAAGTAAGCTGTACGAAAATTTACATGGTACTGATGTGTGATATGCATACCTCGAATACGAGGGTCGCAGCACCATCTTTTACATATTCTCTAATCCCAGTGCCAGCATTGTAAGATGGTGGTGCATATCGATTGGAGACACAGCGGATGCCAGCGAAGCTGTTTCCATAACAGCATAGATACGCAGAGATCTCGTGTCGGCATAGAGGAAACTGCACCCTCCAGATATTGTGCGCGCGCAATAGAGACAACTAACTCATCTACAACACCGCTTGGAAATCAGGAGAGAGCTTCAGAATAACAGTTCCATTGCAACAAGATCCAGGAATGACGATCCCGATCGTTACTAAATATAGGGCGGGGTGCCTGGATGCCGGGTGCCTGAAGACGGAGTATACGATGCAACCTCTACCGAACAACACGCCTCGAAGGAGTGACTGCTGGTATCTTTTGAGCTGGGTTTTGGGGACAACCGATTGTAATAATACTTTTACTGAGAGTATCTCGTAGTACATAAGAGAAGGGAAGTCGGCATAATGGATGAACACAAACCACTTTCAAAAGCCTCTATCCAAGCAGTTCTCTATCTACGACTGTGTTAATTATCAAATTGTCAAATACCTCCAAGATGCAATTCACCATCACTTCCGCTGTCACTCTCCTCGCATTTGCATCTTCTGCAGCTGCGTCTCCTCTTGCGGCCCGTCAGGATGCGCTGCAAGATTGGCAGGTAACAGACCTCGCAGTTTCTGTGCCAATGGGACGTCCCGGAAGTTATCCTTGGGGTACCCTTAAGGCGAACATAACCGACCCGAATGCGATCAACCTTGGTACTTCGAGCGATGGCAGCCAGATGATAGTGCCCGCCGGAAGCAAGGGGGTAGTAAGTTTCGCATGCTGATCTCTTCGTTCGATGCCATACTAATACGAATACTAGAATTGCGAAGCCAAATGGTACATCAATGGCAATTCCCCCATCGGTCGCGCATGGCCTTGCGACGCAACCTCGAACGGCTACTGGTTTATGCACGTGTATGAAGGTACAAATGGCTTCTCATCCAGCAATTTCGACCTCAAATTTACACGCGTCGCGGAGAAGATCTATCTGGATACTCAGTATAAGGCAACCTTTGAGGCGAAAGGGCATTTCGACAGCCGAGGAGCTCTTGGTGGTGTTTGCAGTGCAGGTGAGTGTAATTGGGGGCTTCTACAATCGAAGAAACCTTTCAAGATTACACCTTTGAAGGCCTGAGTGGAAGGGAGGGCTTCTCGGCAATGTGGTGAGATTGAGATGGTTGTGCCGAGGTCGGGTCGTGGATGCTACCGATTATCCCTAATGATTGTGTTTGCTAGAGCGTAGAACCATAATGTTCAGTATTAGAAGTACAGTAATGCATGGCGGCGGAGCGTATACAGAACTTGTTGAAGATGTGAATCGAGTAATATAGAACTTGTTCATACCTACAAAGGTCATTGTCTCGTATTTCATCTTGCCCAGCTATGTATGCAGTCATGACGATGGATTACGTCTCGTCTCCGCGATCAGCATGACCAAGGTGCCGGCAGACATCATGTCTGATCATAAGAATGCCTCAATATCTCAGAGAGCCAATGCTTGAGTGCCGCGGCGAAACGGCAATTGCTTAGCCATGGTGATGGTGTGGTACCGGGAGCGGCCGGCGAGCGACCGGGAGTGGGCTTGTTGTGCGAGCCTCAACATCACATCCTCCGTTAATTGCCGCCTCAGTCCGTCTGCAACCTGCGCCATCCATGCAATCAGCTGCAAATAAGCACCATAGCGGTATCGCAGCAAACAAATTGTCTTGAAATGGTTCCAGAATGCGTGCTTTTCCAGGGGTTGTGATGCTGGTGGGACAAATCAATGCCTGCGTGCAGCCCTTATCCCCGCATTTGAGCTCCGGATCTTGGCATCGTCACAAGCTTGAAGCTCCTCTCCGCCGAAGCAACGCCTTTAGCTCACCATTCACATCAAGCCGACTAGTCTGCATCAGTCGGCCGACCAAGCAGATCCTCGGCCCAGGCATTGAAGATGGGTGACGTCTGTATCATAAATAATGTCTATCAGCCGTCTGACCTTCTCCGCACGCTGCATACTTGAACCGCATTTCCCTTCCATCTCACCTTGTCATCCCTCGTAGCTCTACATACACGAAATTTCATTCAACTACATCTAACAAATCATAATGGCCAATCCCGAACGCATTCTAAGAGAGGTCAACATCCTCGGCGACCTCAATGATAAGAACCGCCATATCCTCAGCAAGGATGCCTGCGTCTTCCTTGCACTCCTCCACCGCACATTCAATGAACGCAGGAAAGCCCTTCTTCAGCGACGAGTGATTCGACAGGCTGAGCTCGACAAGGGAAACCTTCTCGACTTCCTCCCAGAGACCAAGCACATTCGAGAGAACGATGCTTGGAAGGGCGCACCACCAGCGCCTGGTCTCGTTGACAGGCGCGTCGAGATTACTGGCCCAACTGATCGCAAGATGGTCGTCAACGCCCTGAACTCCGATGTCTGGACTTACATGGCTGACTTTGAGGGTATGCGATCTCCGCTGAACCGGTTGAGAGTTTCATCATTAACCTTTTGCAGATTCATCCGCACCAACATGGGACAACATGATCAACGGTCAGTTGAACCTGTACGATGCCATTCGCAGGCAGGTCGACTTCAAGCAAGGCGAGAAGGAATACAAGCTTCGCACAGACCGAACACTACCCACACTCATCGCCCGCGCCCGAGGCTGGCACCTCGAGGAGAAGCACTTCACCGTTGACGGTGAGCCTATTTCCGGTGGTCTTTTCGATTTCGGGCTGTACTTCTTCCACAACGCCCATGAGCTTGTCAAGCGTGGAACGGGCCCATACTTCTACCTGCCCAAGATGGAGTCGCATCTTGAGGCTAGGCTCTGGAACGACGTCTTCAACCTGGCTCAGGACTACATTGGTATGAGGCGTGGAACCATCCGTGGAACAGTCTTGATTGAGACCATCACTGCTGCCTTTGAGATGGACGAGGTATGTCGAAAACCTGTCCAGATAGAAGATCCATATGCTAATCATGTTATAGATCATCTACGAGCTTCGCGATCACTCCTCTGGCCTCAACTGCGGCCGTTGGGACTACATCTTCAGCACCATCAAGCGCTTCCGTCAGAACCCCAACTTTGTCCTTCCTGACCGCGACTCTGTCACCATGACATCGCCCTTCATGGACGCCTACGTCAAGCTTCTCATCAAGACATGCCACAGGCGTGGCGTTCACGCGATGGGCGGCATGGCCGCCCAGATCCCCATCAAGAACGACCAGCAAGCAAATGATGCTGCCATGGCCAAGGTCCGTGCAGACAAGCTCCGTGAGGTACGCGCTGGTCACGACGGCACATGGGTGGCTCATCCGGCGCTCGCAGGCATTGCGAGCGAAATCTTCAATGAGCACATGCCCACTCCCAACCAAATGCACGTCCGCCGCGAGGATGTCCACATCACCGCCAACGACCTGCTGAACATGAACGTACCTGGCAAGGTCACCGAGGCCGGAATTCGCAAGAATCTCGACATTGGTCTTGCCTACATGGAGGCCTGGATCCGCGGCGTTGGTTGTGTACCAATCAACTACCTCATGGAGGACGCTGCTACCGCCGAAGTCTCAAGGAGTCAGCTTTGGCAATGGACAAAGCACAACGTCCAAACTGCAGAGGGCAAGAAGGTCACAAAGGACTACGCCATCAAGCTGCTGCAGGAGCAAGCCAAGGCACTGAGCGACAAGGCACCAAAGGGAAACAAGTACCACCTTGCTGCCAAGTACTTTGAGAGCCAGGTCACTGGAGAAGACTATGCTGAGTTCTTGACATCGTAAGTCACATATCTCTCCAAGTTATAAGAATCACGTACTAATAATGTTAGTCTCCTATACAACGAAATCACAAACGTAGGTCCACCCAAGGGAGCCTCCAAGTTGTAAATCGCGGTGCAAAACCTACTCTTTTCCCTAGTTATAATGAGCATTTGAAAAGTGCCTCTGCTATTTTCTTTTTTACTAGTTTGTAACTGTATACCATACATGACTATCTTTGAGCTAGACATAAGAATTCGCGCAAACTGTAAAGCGCTTCGTTATCTTGTACTGCTTACTTGCCCAGTGTTATGCTGTTCTTCCCCTTGAAAGTAATATCGCATGTGTATTGATCAAAGGCTGACATTGCTCCTCATCACTCTATAGACCGGCTCGCCCGTCGCAGCGTCGAAACTGTAAGAATACACGTGCAACCGAGGTATAGCCCGGATTCTTGGAGAGAGAGAGGGGGATGCATGGTCGATCATACAAGAGCGGTCCTGGTAGGCGAACGCGGTTCATTTGACATGTGAAAAGCACTTGTGGGCTGGAACTCGTTTGATGTTTGCATAGCTATCGATGTGGTTAGTTTGATAATACTTCTTGTAAATATCATTAGTTGGTTTGTTATTTCCGTGGTACCCGATAATAGTCATTCATCTAGCTTGAGAAAGGTTGTGATAGTAGTGTGGGTTGTAATTATAGAATGGCTTGAAGAAATTTAGGACGGCGGACTAGACGACATCACCTAGTGCAAAAGGCGACCCACCAGCAATACACTTCTATGTATTGGACAGAGCATATACGTGGGTAGAAGGTTAACACGAACATGGGTCTTGGCATGAACAGAGAAGACGAAGAAGAATCTGCAGAGTAAAAACTCGCTTCACATGAACATTGAAAACCATGATTCATAGTCTCGTGGTATCTAGAGAAGTGGCGTTATCATGCCGAGTGCATTCAGTGTCCCGCGACTATGCAGACCAGATACATGACTAAACACCCATTTTGACCTGACCGATGCACCGAAGAAGCCCCAAATATCACCTTTACTTCCTGAGGAGACGCTGGTAGAAAGCAAGCTCCTCACCCTCGAGGACGTAACCGTCGCAGCGACCGCTCTGGCCGGGACGGGAAGAGACAGCGGCGTACAGACGACCGGCCTCGAACTGCTTCTCAACAGCATTCTCAATCTTTCCACTGGTCTTGAGGCGCTCGGCCTGCTTCTTGGTGACCGAGTTGGACTTCTTCTTGTCCTCCTCCTTCTCACCGGCCTTGGCCTGCCTCCTGCGGCCGAGCGAGGAGCCGTAGTGGGCCTCGTACCATTGCCTGAAGGGAGCGGCATCGATCTGGACGATAGCGGAGCGGGTCAGGGTGTTGGTACGGACGAGCTCGTTGTTGGAGGGGTGGTAGACGACACCGATGACACGGGTCTTCTTGGCGATGCCCTCAGAGCCCCAGGAGAAGTTGCCGGACTCGAGACGGAGAGCACGGAACTTGCGGTTGCCGCCACGGGTGCGGACAAGATGGATACGCTTAGTGCCAATACGGGTATTGGCAGGCTGGCGACCCTTCTCGAAAGCCCTGAAGCCATGTTAGACATGACTAGAGAAGCGATCGGGTTATGCATACCTCTTCTTGCGGTAGTATGCGCGCTTCGCACCGGACGCGGAACGCTTGTGGCGAGAGTCTCGTGAGATACTGGGAATTGTCAGTGGATGAAGTCAAATGACGGGGGAGGAAGAGATAGGTACCCCATGATTGCGGTTGTTCAGAAGACTGCTGCCCACAATCAAATTAGCTTTTGTTCTTCCTGTGTGATTTCCGAAACCGCAGCACTGCTCCGCCCCGCCAATACAGTCCTTTGCATTGTATAGCCCATAGCAGAAGTATTCATCTCAGAGCGATTGAAGTGTTCGCGTGCGACAATGTCTTCCGTTGGCGTAGGCATACAGCTGGGTCACGATGGCGGAGCGGTGTCGATTTCGCAATGCTGAACGGCTTCCATGTCTCGAGTACAAGGCGTCCTCTGTTGCGTACCTGTTTTTGGTCTTCCGGTGCAATCTGTGTTGTCGTGGGGTTAGTTGGCGCTTGTCAGAAGAAGTCGGGAAATTCAAGGTGATTTTCGAGTTCTGAGCGTTGGTGCCAAGGCCACGCTAAACAATAAGCGAGCAGGTGCGCTTCTGCGCATCTTGCCCCCCACCATTCACTGCCCCATCCTATCCAGTAACCTTTTCCACATTTTCGCATCCCTGTATCGATAAGTCCCTTACGACAGAGCAATCGTTCATTAAATTGTCCTGGGAATTGGGCAGGTGATGAATGCATAGCGCAAGTAGCCAATGTAGCTTGTCACTACACGTGCTCGCTGAGATCGCTCCAACTGTCCATGTCAGCATCATCGGGGTTGGGCTTCGTAAGCTCAGTATTGCCGATTCATCAACTAAACTCGTACCACAATATCTACTGCAGAGTTCACCAACGGATGGAAATGAAAAAAATACTCTGCGCATGGCACGTGGCTTTCGTGTCAAGCACTCTCCGTACTCTCCTTATACCTGGCCATGGAGTCCTTGCGAACACACGCACAATCATCATTGGCCCCTCCACTTGAGTCTTCCTATGTATACATTGAAGCCAGCCACCATACAGGATTTGGAATTCGCTAAGACGCTTGGGAAAGACCGATGGTTGGTAAGCACTCAGCTGATGTATGACATCTTGTTTCCACGCCGGTTAAAGCCATCTCCAGGCTACCGCATCCAAGACTTTGAGTAGTTATATAATTTGGGGGAAGTGTGAGGACGTGTAGTGCCTCTCTTCTCCTTTCCTGTCACCTAAGCCATGAATTTTTCAAGCCCTCTTTCCGAACAACTATGTTTTTCACTCGCTATGATACTGACGGGCGGACAAACGTTACTTGTTTATATCGGATCCTATGCTCATGCTTAACGTGGGTGAGAGTTGCTCAAGCGGGTAGCTATGGGGCCTCGTATTCATTAATTCATTAAAGTTGGTTGGGCTCACCCAATCTAAAACCAGCATTCGGTTACAGGTCAGCGGTGGCAGCAGAAAGCCTTGGGATGGTGGCGCCAGGGTTAATTGAGATATTACATTCAGCGCCATCGATCACTAACTAAATGTAGATGTTGTCTTCCGCTAAGTTCAGGTTTTTAGATCTGTCACTACCATTTCCTCATCAAACCCGATGTATCCATCACCAAGTCATACCACTCTATCCTGTCCTCAAGTTTGTATCCCTTCAGTACCCGCACCACCGAATTCAATCCCTACCATACCAGTGCAGACCTCATGCCTGGTGATCATCCCCACCAGCACAACACCCGTAGATGCAACGGCCACTTTGATTACATCCCGGGGCCATGCCACGAGAAGTGTACCCATGCAATCGACAAACCAAAAGCCTTCGACCAATAGCGCCAATCGTATTACAGATAGGGGACCCCCATGGCCATCATGAGATTACTGAACCCAAGTTCAGTGCTACCCGACAATGTAGAGGATGTTCTCCAGTGGTCGAGATCACAGCTACAGACTGATTAGACACACCAGTTGAGGATCAGCATGGCTCTACAGAGCGGCTGGACCCTGCTCCACTGATCACCCAAGCACCTCCAATCGCTACCGTTTCTGCTGGCTTAGCGACTGTCGTTGTTGAGCAGGAGCTAGTTGGTTATAACTTTGTGATAGGAGGCTCATATACTGTTGCTTCCGGTAAGCCTGTTACTATGGGTAACACGCCTATTGAGATCCGAAATTCAAATAGCCAGATGGAAGTGGTTGTCGGCACAATCGCAATATCTCTATAGCCAAATTACCCTCAAACAACATACGGGCCGCCGCTAGAACTACCACCAATACTTACTATAGGCACCACAGCAGTAATGCCAGACTTACGATCAGAGTATGTGCTTGAGGGACAAACGCTTGTCCCTGATGGAGAGCTACTCACCATCTCAGGAATGACGCTCTCTCTTTCGCCTTCAGTAACAGCGCTTGCCGTTAACGGAGACACACAGCGTCGTTCCTGTAACCGGCAACATTTATACCGTTGCGATACCAGCTGCCTTGACCTTCAGAGAGCAATTGCACACAGCCAATCGTGCAAGCCACATCATAATGGGTCTAGAGACCACTCTTATACCCGGCGGCAATCCAGTGACTATCGACGGGACGACGCTTAGCCTTGAGCCCAGTAGGCCAGCAGTTGCGGTACAGGGCGCGTCTATCGCTCTGCAGCCTGTGACAACAATTGTCACATTGACGAGGGATTTGATTTCGTTCGAGACGCGGTCTAGCGGTGAGTGTGGGAGGGAATCCACCGCGCATTCCACCGGGGAAGTGTAGTGTGTTCCGATTCCACTGTGAAAGCGACTAGTGTTCGGGCGATACGGCATCATCGTGTTTCATCCGATGGTTGGCTAGGAAGTGTGCTTCTGTTGATTTTGTGGGGTGTAGCCTCTTCCGCTTTGCACCTATGGAGAGATGTACTAGAGCACATGGCATCGTGGGAACTCGCTTGCTGGAAATTTACTGTGCGTCAAATGGCGTTGGATCAACAGCATAAAATATGGAAAACACAATTTCTTGGTTTGTCGCATCGTAATCGCTTGTGCAGAGATCGATGTGTTGACAGGAAAAAAACAAGAAACCCCTTAAAAATTTGCAATTACTTCTGCGAAGTTGAGGCACTTGTCGAAAATGTCTCATGATCGTCGTGTGCCAGCCAACCGTGCACAGAATCAGGAGACGGCGCAATAATAGACGTGACGAAGATGCTGGAACATGGTACTCTAGAGGACTCAACAAATGTTTCTCATAGCCACATCACAACTACGTGGTACCACATATTCGTCATTCAACCGGTGACAGGAACAAGTCAGCCATGGTCAAAAATTTGCATCACCAAACCTCCAAGGGCATTCGTCTAGCAGTTAAGGGACATGAACAAAAATAAATGCGCAACTTTACGTACAAACATCCACTCGCAATGCCATGGGCGGCGTCTAGACTACTTAATACCGATGCAAAATTGGCATCCGACGGGCAACTCAACGGCGGAAAAGCGCACGTGTTGGGCGAGGGCGACGGTGGTGCGACAGCCAATAACAGAGTTTTCCCCCGCCATGCCTCCAAAGGCAGTCTTCTAACAGCTAACGGCCATGAGGTGAAAAACTCGTGATCGCAGCGTCCCCCTGCGCATGCGCTCTGACATAATTAGCCGCCTGCGGGAAACGATCCGGCGGGCCCTCCGGAAAAGTGCAGTAGGGCGTGGATCATCTTGTTGTCATGAATGGGTGGGTCACGTACGCCCACACGCCCTGTGAAGGACCTTGCTGACTGAATTATGTGGGTTTGTCAGCCCCTACAGCCAATGGGAATATTGCCTTGATCACGGAACTTCTCCGTATTCTTGTAAATGTGTGGAAGGGCGCGTGCAAGGCATGCTGAGAAATTTTGCAAAGAAAACGTCGGTGTCCAGGGGGGTGTCACGATGCTTGGCGGGTGTCATGGCGAAGATTCTGGGGGAGTGTCTGGGGAGTATAAAGGTGAGGGTGGGTACGGCAGGATGAAGAGCATCAACTCAGCAAAGCATACCAGAGCATCAAGCACTAGCCTCTACTACTACTACTACTACTACTACTACTACTACTACTACTACTACTACTACTACTACTATTACTATTCTCGTCAACTTCGAATATATCGAACCAACAACAACAATCACAATGCCCAACTTCCTCAACACCATTGCCAGCCGCGCAAAGGCTCACCACGAGAGCGTCAATGCCGCATACAACACCTACTACACCGGCTCATCACCTGCCTCTCGAACAGCTTCACCTGAGGCTTCCCGCAGCTCCTCTGTTGCCAGCCCATCCGCACCCAAGAACCCTACCAATGCCTCCAAGGCCTGGAAGGCTCTTAAGAAGCACCACCGCGAGATGAACGAGGCCTTCGCTGTCTACTACAGCCCCGGCAACTCTCCCTCCGCCTCCAGGAACGCATCTGCCGTCTCCAGCCCAAGGCACAGTGCCGACGCACCCAGGAACTCTAGCGTCAGCGAAGTCAAGGAGGCTGGCCCCAGGAACTACCAGAAGGCGTGGAAGGCTCTCAAGACCAGGGCTATCGAGCACCACAGGAGCGTCAACGCTGCCTACAACCAGACCTATGGACTGCACATGCGCCAATAGATGCGATGCCGATAGGGGTCTTTGAAGAGAATTGGAGGTGGAAGTAATGGTTGACAGACGAAAGGGAAACGGAAAACAAAAGTGCTTTTTTTGGGATAGCAATATACCACTGTGGGATTCGGTAGCTTGGGAGTTTTTTTGACATTAGAAGGACCAGATCAGATGGATCTGAGTAATACACGGAGGATTGAATACCATTTATCTTTGCAAAGGATGAAATACTGAAACTTGGTGATGTTTGAGTGATGACAATGTGACTGAGAGACTTCCAAGAGAACTGATGTTTGAATAGAAAAGCGAGAACATGAAGAAATACCGGATATTTGTGAGTCTCTTCAATAGTGTGTGACCTGAACAAAGGACCGTGTTGATGTTGCTTTTTTTGATTGAAGAGAGTGCGTTAGCGTTGACAGCTCTGGGAGTCATTTATGCCTCGGATTGCAAGCATCTAGATGAGTCTTTTACAAAGGATGAACCTGACTACCGTATCGGTATGTTTCGAGACTTTCGGTGAAAACATGATGACAACTGGCGAATGGTGTGAGATGAGGGTGTTTTGTGGTGGTGCTCAAGTATGACAAGGCGACGGGCGTGCATTTCCGAGACCTCGGAATCCCGGTGCATTTCGACCAATCAACGACTTGTGCTTTCTAATTATGCCCCGTGTCGGGATTTGCAGTGGATGACATAGCCTTGAACGAATTTGGTTAACATTCAGCTACCAGTACCTTTACCTTTCAACTCACACGACAGGCGCACCCCATCTCCCTACGTCGCAGCGCATTTCCATACCCGGCCCTGCGATCATGTCACTACCTCGTACCACTGGAGCGCTTGTGCGCTCAAGTACATCCTTTCTACGATTCGCCGCACCCCCGTTTGCTCCCCGCAGATGCCCGCAATGCTCCCGGTCCTTCGCCTCATCGCTGCCCAGGCGCCAGTCAACCAAGCGCCAAATGCAGACGGCGACTGCATACCACCCTTCGTCATTATATCCAGAGCCGCCACCACGCAATGTTGGCGTACCCGACACTTCAATCGCTGGTGGAGCCACCGAGGCAAAGAACACAACCTTACCACAAACACCTCCGCACGACCGCAACGCAGCCTCCCAGGCCGAACAAACCACCGTCAGCATACCTGAAGGCGAAGCACAAAAGCCTCAGCAGGTCGCAAGCCCTAGCAAACCACTTCGGCCACGCCGATACAACTTTGGACCTCGAAAGGCGACAATCAAGCTCTCGCCCTCCGCTGTGGCGCACTTGCGCGAACTCCTCGAATTGCCAGAGCCCAAGCTCATTCGAATAGGCACAAAGGCAAAAGGCTGCTCGGGTCTCGCATATCACCTAGAGTATGTGGACAAGCCAAGCCCGCTGGACGAACAGGTTGAGCAAGATGGCGTGAAGGTGTTGATTGACAACAAGGCGTTGTTGAACATCATTGGTAGTGAGATGGACTGGTTGGAGGACAAGCTCAACGAGCGATTCATTTTCAAGAATCCAAACATCAGTAAGTTTTGTTTTGGGCACACCAGGAACAAGCGCTAACAAATCAATAGCTGAGCAATGCGGGTGCGGAGAATCATTTAGTGTATCATGATACCCTTACGAGTCGTTTGTCATACTATAGAAGCATTACGGGCGTTGCATATCTGGCGTTACATACATTCTACAATTCGACGCATTATTACTACGCTATACATTTGAGGCTATTATACCGCAGTTTCACAACTTTCCAGGCTCGTAGTCGAAGACCTTCACACCATTCGCCACTTCGCCGGCAAGTTTTACAAAGTCTTGATGTGCTGGATCCTTGTAGACGTAATAGTCGCGGTCTTCCTCGCTCTCGAATTCTACAACAAATCCGTGGGTGAAGTTACCCTTGTAAGCGTAAGCAACCGAGTTTAAAGTTGAGGCTGGCTTTGAGGGTAGACATACAGAGTGGCCTTCAGGGCTGTTGTTCTTTCCCCCAGAAAATGATTTAATGTAGGGCTTTTGGGAAGTTGGATGGATGCACTTGTCCTTGAGTGCAAGCATCTGTTTGCATGCCTATAGGCTGTTAGATTTATAATCACCAGTGTACATGCTGATGTTTAGTACCTCTGAAATCTGGTCTGAGGAAGCAGTAGGTTTCCACTCAAAGAGAACAACATGAATTATCGTCATTTTGAATTATCAGCGTTCAAAAGTATCTGGGTGTGAGTCAAGATGCATTGATCGCGACATGATATCACAACTGAGAGGGGCACTGTCTCCCGGCGGATGGGGCCTCGGAGGTAAATGACCTCAACGTTGCTAAGCTCCGGGCTGCCGCGTCTCGAGCCACCAACTGCGCAACCGCCGCAGATCTCGCAGCCTCAGCACCAGAGATGCAAAGCATACGATAGCAACGCAAACCATGTCACGACCGCCATGAAATCTTGTAGACTTTATGCACATGAACCATCGCTTTCCTACCACCTCATCTCCGAACCCAAGCGCAACCTTGCACCATCATGGCAGCCAACGCGCCCGTCCTTCCTGAACAGCTCATATACTTGATAATACGCTTTACAGCCTCCGTTCCCGACCTACCCCTCTCTATCCACACGCCCCGTGTCATTGCGACCCTCTCGCTCAAGCAGATCATCCGTCAACACCTCCCACCCGAACATGCCTCGTCGCGATTACGCCTAATCTATGCGGGCAAAGTCCTCGCAGATAATGACCCGCTATCTCGATCGTTACGACTCCCCCCACCGCCGCCACCCCGCAGCAGCAGAAGCGGGGACGCAACAGCAGGCAACAGCAGTAGTAGTACCGGAGAGGGAAGTAAGAGCAAAGGCAAACAGCCGCTGAGAGAAACACCCGCCGTACAATACGGCACAACGGAAATACCTTCAGAGGCGAAAAAGTACTACATACACTGTTCCCTCGGCGATGCGCTCTCCCCCTCCGAGCTCGCTAGCGAAGCCACTCTCGCCCAGAATATAGAAATCAGTCTGAAATCACAGTATGACGCCTCGTCCTCTGAGCTCCGCCGCAAAGGCAGCGGAGCAGACTACAATGCGCGCAGACGCGGGTCTACTGCGACGACGGGGACGGCTGGTGGGACGGACGGCGCTGTACCTCAAGCTCAGGGTTTCGATAGGCTGTTGAGTTCGGGCTTTACGCCTGCGGAGGTAGCGAGTTTACGCTCGCATTTTACGACGAACCTTTCGTTTACGCATACGCCTGATACGATGCCGACGCCGGCTCAGATTCGTGTGCTGGAAGATCGATGGCTTGACTCGTCGGCTAATGATCCTTCGGCTTCGCTGACGGCGCCTGGTGCTACGGGTGGTGAGACGGGATGGGGCGCGGGGTTTGCGGTGGAAGAAGGTGGGCTGGACGATATGTTGTATGGGTATTTGACTGGTTTCTTTTTCCCACTCGGCAGCTTGGTGTGGGGATTTCGTGAGGAGGGAGTGTGGACGAGACGGAGGCAAGTTGCTGTTGTTATGGGGGTGTTGATAAACGCTGTTTTTGGCTTCATGAGAT